TTTATTTTTGAATGTGTATTAGCGTAGAATAAAGCCTTTCTAATTTTTATTTCTATGTATTTATTTGTTTGGTTGCTTTTTTGTTTTTATTGTTTTTCAATGATTATTATTATTTTTTTTTTCTTTTTCTGTGTGTTTTGGATTTTTAGCGGAATTTTTTCTGCACGCGCGCGTAAATGTTATATCGATACGTAGATAATGTATACGTACACCTTATATATTTGTCTGCTGTATACCTGAGCATTTGTTGTTGTTGTTTTTTTTTTCCTTCTTGGCGCCAGATATGTTCCGGCGTGGTGTGAACCTGCATTGATTTTTCCTTTGGTTTGGTTTGGTTTGCTTTTTTTTTTTTTTTTTGTCTTTGGAGGGGGTGTGGTAGGGTGGGGCTGTTTTGTTGCCACCGCTCACGAATTTTAATTTCCAAAGGGGATTTGATAACGCCACTTTTTATTTATTTATTTTTCTTTGTTGCTTTAAGTGCTGTAAACATTTATTTATTGGCTCCGCCAACAGGAGAGTGATAGATCAAGGGCAAGGTGGCGGGTCCACTCCCACAATTGTCAAGGGTACGGAGAATGAAGGAAACGGCTCACGCCCTCAAAGACCCGTGGTTTCTCAGCTACATTCCCCAACTTACTCCAGACACCGTGAAGTATGATTTCAAGGGGGACTGGAACAAAGCCAAACAGGCACTTCAGCAGCCACTTGACTACATCCGCACTGTGGAGGAGTTTTGGTCGACCATCAACTCGTTACCAAAGTTGCACCAACTGGGAAACGGTAGCACATTCATTTTTGCTCGCAACAACGTTGATGCAAGCTACGAAGCCTTTCCCAATGGTACACGGGTTCTTGTGGATCTTTACAAGGCGTCAGTTGCAGAGAAGGGGATGGATTTCGTACTGAGCAGCGTTCTAGGGGAAGGACTGACTTATGACGTTTTTAACGGCAAAACGGTGTGTGACGTGGTACGTCTTTCTTCACGTCCCAATCAAGAGTCCCCTGAGTTAGTGCGTCTAGAGGTGTGGCTCAGCGATCAGTTGTACGCCAAAGATGTGATACCTTATATAAGAAAGGGACTCAATGAAGCTGGTTTAAGTTTCACGGATTTTATCATGGGTGAGTCAACTTTTGAAAAGGATAAGAAGAAGCCATCGGTGTCCGGTGCAAAAAGCTGATTGGCTATATTTTTTTTTTCTTATTATTATTATTTTTCTTCTTGTTTTGTTGTTTTTGCCTTTCTTATTATTGTTTCTCTCTCGCGTGCTTTCTCTTTCTTACTTGAAGAGGAGTGGGATGCGTGTGCAGCGACAGGGAGCCAGCTATAACGTTTGAATTTGTTTGAGAAGTAAGGTTTGAATTGACTACGAGTACTAAAGATGGTGTTAACTTCTGTCCGGTGGTGGAACGTCGCGCCGACTGAACCAGTAGGTGCTAATCAAAATGGTGAAGAACGTTTTTTGCTTTTTTCTTTGGAGCATCCGTGTTGTATTGTTTATGCTCGCCTACCTTCTCTCTCTCTTTCTTCTTTCTTTATTCTCCGCACAGAAGGAAGGATGCAGATTTTTGTCAAGTCGGCGGCCGGCAAGACCAGCGCCATTCAGGCCTCGGCGCAGGAGACTGTCGCCAGCCTCAGGTTAAAGGCCGGTGTCTGCGATGGCACTCTCTTCTACGGCGGCCAGTGCCTCTGCGACGAGGCCACCCTTGCCGATTACGGCCTGCAGCGCGAGAGCACCATCCAGGTGATGCTTCCCGTTGAGGGCGGTAAGGGGAAAAAGAAGAAGAAGAAGGTCTTCACGAAGCCTAAGAAGCCGATCCACCGCCATAAGCTGGAGAAGATGCGGGCTCTCAAGTACTTCAAGGTGACGGAAAACGACGACGGCTCCTTCAAGGTGGAGCGCACCCGGGACGAGTGCCCCAATCCGGTCTGCGGAGCTGGAGTCTTCATGGCTCAGCACAAGGATCGCAAGTACTGCGGCAAGTGCCACCTGACGTACGCGGCAAGGTAATTTTGACATCGGCATTGTGACTTCCTCTTGACTTATTTTATTTTATTTGATGCTTCTGACATGTCTTTGATGGGCGCTTTCTGTCTTTTTTTTTTTTACTACTTTTTCTCTGCTGTGGCGTTGCTCACTTGGAAATTGAATGCGGGCTTTTATTGACGTCTGTATGTTGTTGTTGTTTTCTTCTCTTTTCTTTTTTTTTTTTTTTTGAGCGACTTTTGTTTGTTTGTTTTGCTTGCGCACCAGTGTGTTTGTGTAAGTGGCAATTCGGCGTAGGAGGCGCCTGTTGCGGTGCGTCCCGGTGGTCGCATCGTCAAGGAAGGAGAAATGGGACTAGAAGACATTGACGAATGCCTCCCACCTTCTTTGGGCGGAAAAGGACAGGTGCTTAAAGGTAGACCCGTCAACAACGGCGACGGCACCAGTGGTTCGTGCGCAAAGGTGAACTTTGGTGAGTTGTTTGGTTTTCCTGTTGCGTCAAGTGGAGGGGCGGTGATGCCGTCAGCTAGTGCCGGTGTCGGCAGCGTGCAGGCTGGTTCAAAAACAGAATGCCAAGAACCGGAAGAGCAGTGGATTTGGGTCTCTGCTGAGGGCCAGAAAAGTGAAGCCTCTCCCGTCGACAACATGGCTGGCAGATCCAATGATCCTCTTGACGCATTCTTTACTTCCCATACCCCCAGTTTACAGCCGTCCTCTTCGATGAAGCGGGAAGAAAAGCCGTTCACGGATCTTCTTGACTTCTCTAAACCGGCGGAGCGCGTCCGGTACTCAGATGAACATTCCCTCCTGGAAGCGTTTGAAAATCAAAGCAAAGGACGACGGGCAGATGTGCGGGACGATCCGTCCCTGGAAGACCTTAGCCATGGCTCCTCCAACAACGCAGTAAGGGCACGTTTGTTGAAAATAATGAATTACTACGATATTTTAGGTGTCACACGCGACGCCACAGAGGAGCAGATACGGCAGAGGTACAAGCAAAAGGCACTGGAGCTTCATCCCGATCGTGTGGGTCGCGACCAAACACCAGAGGAGGTAGAACTATTCAAGGTGATGACGAAAGCAAATGAGGTTCTGTGTGATCCAGAGGAACGCGCAAAGTACGACGAGGAATTACGCTGTTCAAACGTGGGCGCGGATGACGAGGCCCAGTGGCTCTTTCACCTCCACTTGCGGTGACGCCTTATTATTTTTGCCGGGAAATCCATAAAGGAAAGAAAAAAAGTTTGTATTTGGGGCGCGGAACTTCGTGGGGCCATTTCTATTGATGGCTACAACCCAGAAATAGTACTATTGTATATCATGCCAAGAAAAGTAAAAAAAGAAAATTAGATGTGATGGGGGTACAGTGCCAAAAGTCCAAATAATCCAAACATTAAAAAAAGGAAAGAAAAAAAGAAAAAAAAAAGTCGGCGCGAAAAGGCAGATTATTTGCTTTTGTGCGTGTGGACGAAATGAGAGAGTAATGACTGATGGATGTGTGCATAAAGTAAACAGCCGAAGTGGACGAAAAAGGAAAGTAAGCAGGCATTCATGGGGAAAATTCCCTTTTGTACAATTTACTTTTAAAATTTATTTATTTTATTTTTCCTCTCTTCTTTTTTTTTTTTTTTTTTTCTCCTCCTTGTGGCATTGAGGACGGTGGGAACAGCGCAAGGAATTGAGGCAAGGCAAAGGGACCTAAAAGGTGAAAGGAGGGTGTGAGAGGAGGAAAGAGACACAGCGGTTTTTTTTTTTTTTTTTTTTTAAGCCAGAAGGAAAAAAAAATGATGCGACGCAGCTTCACTCTGCTGAATGGCAATTGGAGGGAGCAAGGTATTAGCTATTTGAAGTACCTTAACGTTTGCACAGAGGCTCTTCACAGCGCCATGAAAGAGAGCCGTCGGGTGAAGTATGAGCGCTATTCTTCACCTGGATACGTGGCCCAGAAACCTGATGGTGCGGGCGGCATCGAGACAGTCAATAAGGTTCCTGCGCACACAAATGAATACTAAGAAAGTTAAAGAGAAAGAGTTGTGTTTGTGCTCCTGTGGATGAAACGGATGAATTTACAAAAAGAGAGGTGAGCAATTGAATGATTCTGTCAATGAGGGAATGTGAAACTGGTGGAAATGTAGAAGTGGAAAATTAGGAGGTTTATGGTAGTAAGACCCCAAGTCTCTAATATGGGGTGATGTTTGCTACAAATATGAACGTGGAAATGAATTCACCAGTAAGTTTTAGGAGTTGCCTTACCAGAAACCCCTTTACATGCATGCATATATGCAGATATATATTTTTTTCTCCATTTTACTTTTTTTTCACCTTTTTTTTTTTTGCATTACAAATGGGTCTGTATGCATATATACTGTTCCGTGCTCCAAATTTGAGAGCGAGCCGTTGCTGGACGGTGATAAGAGGGTTTTCCTGAAGGAAAAGGAAAACCGGGTGATAGTGAGGGTGGAGGGCGAAGGGATTCTTGGAGGGATGCCGTGGTACCTTAGTACCTTTCGTGTCAGCTTCTGCGCCATTTATTCATATTTGGCCTACCTGCAATTGCGATGGATCGCCGAGGCGGAGGAGCGCTATAGACGTTCTCTGACGTGGAAGCCTGCAGTGGCCACTATATTTGATCACAATATTGTCATGAAGCGCGGGGGCTCGAGTCATGTGCAGTATCGCTTTGTTGTGGGAGGAAAAGAGTATGTGGGTGATCGATTCCGCAGCGGTGGCATCCACAAGGAGGAGATGGTGTCAAACCCAGCCCTTCTCGGTGCGGGAACGCAGCTGGTGGTCTACCACAACCCTGCCGACCCCAACGAGAGTGCCATCAAGCTGCAGACCGATCGTGGAGCGGAGTCGGTGTTTCTTCTTGGCATTGCAGTGTCGCTTCTTGTCTCCTACAGGTCTGTGCGATGCGAGACGATTTTGCCCAATATGTTTTACACCTTCCTTGGTGTGAATCGCCGACTTGGCGGCATCACAGGTTTGAAGGAGGCTCGGACCCATTCGAAGCAAAAGATGAGATACGGTAAAGAAACGGGTGCCATATGAAATGAGTGAGAATAAAAGGGTAAATAAGAAACAAGGAGAGAAAAGGGCGGAGAATGCCACACGCCCTGCATAGTTTGGGCTCAGTGCTCCCACACAGAAGCCGAGATGTTTCTGCGTATCTGTCTTGAAATTTCCTATTGTGTTCTTCTTGTTGGTGTATTTGCTGGTTGTTGTTGGTTTTTATTTTTATTTGACCAGGAAGCATCTTTTTTTTTTTTTTTTTTTTTTTTTTTTTTCAGAAGAATGCGTAACGGAATTCTCAACTTTTTCCTGTTTCTGAGCCTCCCATTGTTGTTTGCTTTTTTTATATATGTGTATGTGCGTGTGTTTTGTGTCTCACAATCCTTCTTTATTCGAGCTTAAGATGGAGCAGCGTGTGGATGCTTTTCTTCTTCGTCTTTTGCAGTTAAACTTACTTGTCTTTTTTTTTATTAGTCTTTAAGAAAAAGGGGAGGGAAAGGGAGTTTGATAGCTGCGAGGGCAAAGCATGGCAGAGCCACGTTCCGCAAGCAGTAAAGCCCTTAGTGGGGCAAAGGGGAGTCGTACTAGCGTTGAATTTGACGTTGCCGAATTTATGCGGGCCATGGATTGCACAGAGAACCACATGGTGTTGGGCATCGATGAAGCGGGGAGAGGTCCTGTGATTGGTCCAATGGTGTACACGGGAGCCATGATTGCCCTTCATGAGCATGATCGTCTTCTGGAGTACTGCGGTGTCAATGACAGTAAATTGCTTGGTGAAAACCAACGGAAGGATGTGCTTTGTAAGCTACAGGAGCTAAAGACCTTCAGCACCTTCACTGTTGTTGTCACACCCGCTGAAATTGCTGCCGCCATGACAGGTATCCATGGCAAGAATCTGAACACCCTCAGTCATGATACAGCCATCGCTATCATTTCCAAGGCAACACTAGAGGCCACTGGAATGTTGTGTGGTGCCTACATCGACACTGTGGGCCCACCAGAATCTTACCAGCAGCGTCTTTCTGGTCGTTTTCCGCATTTGCGCATAACGGTTGCCAAGAAAGCAGAAACGAAGTTCCCCATCGTAGCAGCCGCCTCTGTTGTGGCGAAGGTGGAACGCGACAGGCACATTGAGCGGCTGGGCATTGACGTTGGCAGCGGGTACCCAAGCGACCCCAAAGTGATGACTTGGGTGCGCTCCCACGTTCATCGTTTTTTTGTATTGCCCCGCGAATTTGACTTTGTACGACTGAGTTGGGGTCCCGTTGTCGAGCTCGCCAAAAATAAAGACGTCTGCGTCCCGATTCTCTTCGAGGAGGATGCCAAGACCAAGGCAGAAAAAAAGCGTGCTACCAGTGGTGGAAGTAGCGACGGCAAAAAGCAGCGTCTTCTGAGCTTTGTCAAGCCACCACCACGCCGACACACGGTGTACACCCACCTGCTCCGGCTGAAGACGGTGGCCACCATTCAGGATACTCAGCATCCGTCTCTGGGGTAAAATTTTGCCAATTAGAAGTCTCTGCATCTCACATCTTGTGTATATCCACATCTGATATTTTTTGTCTGTAAGGAAACACGGCACATATTTCGGGCAGGTGTTCTTCACTCATATAAATTCACATGAAATTTCCGTGATAGATATAGAAGGCTTTTTTTGACTACTCTGAAGCATTAGTCTCTGTTGAGCACACCAAAAGATTGCTGCCTTTCACAAGAAGAGGCACAGAAAGGCTTATTGTTCCTTCTTTCTTTTACCTCCATCTCTTTTTTCTGTTTTTGTGTGTGCATATTCCTTTGTTTCTTTATTATTATGTTTTGTTGTTGTTGTTGTTTTTTTTTTTTTCTACGCTTTGTTGTAAAATTTTGCTTCTTTTTGCTAGCAGGCCACAAATATCAACTGTCTTTTTTCATTGAGTGGACTGGAGATGCCGAAAACGGAATCACTGACACTGCCATTGGCAGCAGCTTTGGTGACATTGACTGTGCGGTGGCTCACCTACAACTTTAGGGATTTCCTTCCTCTTCCGTATCATTTTGGCATCACGACACCCAATACCGCCGCTGAAACATGGAAGGAGGCAGTCTTCTGGAAACAGCGATTTGGTGCTGTACCGGAGTATCTTCTTGTCGTGGTTCCCTGGTATGTAGAGCACATCCCGCTCTTGCCATCTGCGATGTATGTAAGCATCTTGTGCGTTTGTGATGCGTTGACTGTGTTCCTTGTTAGCCAGTGGCCGTCGGCCATCCCACAGCTTGTCTTTACTTTATTTGTGTTAAACCCGGCCATGATTTTATTACCGGCCCTTGAATCCTTGGCACCCGTGGAGCATCTTATTCTCACTGTCGTGATTGAATGCTGTCGAAGGCCACGAATCCGCGGTGGGCTTATTTATGTTGCTCGAATTCTTGCACCGGTGTTGGGTTTTTCTTTTATTGCCGTCACGGTAGCGCTGTGGTTTCCCGTCGGAACCAAAAGCTCAAAAGTTGCTATTATTGGGGTGATTCTAGGTGAGTTGGGCATTGGTGGATTTTCTCTGCTATACCTTTTCCAGTGGCGGAATATGAGCACTCGAACATCCCTTTACGCCCCACCCGACAATGGGGTGATGTGGTACGTGCGCCTTCTCATTATTCCCGTCTTTGAGCGCTGTATGGAGGTGTTTCAAATTCAACTGCCCGCGATGCTGACAGTGCTAGTCGCGGTTGCAGTACCCACCGAGGTGCTGGCGAAGCCTTTGGAGTACGCAAGCTCCATCCCTGGGAACCGAAGGCTATTCCTGGTTTTGTTTGCCGTTTGTCTTAGCAAGCTTTGTCGTTTTCATCTCGCCCTTCCGGACTATTCATTAGCGGCTTTGTTCATTTATTCACTTCTGAATAAAACGGGTGGAGGGGGAAAGGGAGGAAAAGAGGAGACAGGGTTCTCCATGTTTGACCGCATCTGTTCCGCCAATGTGTTTTTGCCCGTCTACACTTTATTGCTTGCGGTGCCGCTTCAGTACAGCTTTTACACGGGGTGGGTGATGTGGGACACGGCGAACCCCAACTGGGTGTTTTTTCCGCAGGTGGCATTTGCCGTTGTGGGGGCTATCTTCTTGATAATTTTTCTCAGGAAAGTTTTTGACGCCATCACGGAGGAGACGGTTGCAGAAGATACGCCAAAACACTCTTAACGCACCCCAGTTATTCTTCGCCTCGTGTGTGTGTGTGCGTTAGGGCCTACACACACGCACACACACGAAGGAAAAAAAAAAAGAAAGAAAGAGGGATGCGGCAAATTTAAGCCTATTATTATGTATACAAGTGACTGGACGGGAGGAAAGTCACAGGGTGAGGGTTGTGAAGGGACGAGAACAGGTTAACCCCTTTTGGTTACAACCCCCAGTATCACGTCGATCCCTGAGGGGAGAACAAGAGGGGAATCAAAAGAAAAGATCGAAAGCAACAAGAAAGTGGCTAATCGAAAAAGAAGGGGAAACGGTGGAAATAGGACAATGGACGGCAAATATATTTATATAAGGTTCTGCCCGATGCATGGGCCTTTTTTTTTTTTTTTTTTGGTGAACAGAATGATATTCGCGTGCCCCCCGTTTGCTCCCATGGAATTTTCTCTGTATCTCTTCCTTTTCTTCTATTCTTCTCCAATTACACACCCTGGTCAAAACAACAACAAAAAAAAAAAAAAGGAAAATAATTATCTGTATTTGGCTCTTATGCTTGGGATGAGAGGCGTATGCACTGTTTGGATTTTTGTCTGCGTCGTACTCATGTTCGGATTGTCACTCTCACATGCGGAGTTGTCGACAACCGAAATTCAATTCCAGGAACTCTCCCCGCCGCAAACATCCTCCGAGGTGTCAGAAACCAATTCGTTGACGTTCCCGTTTTTTGCTTGTGAAGCGGAGTTGAGGCAGTTATGCCCCAAGCAAATGGAAGCGCCGCTTAAATGTCTTCTACAGCACTTTGAATCCCAGCGGAACACCAAATTGCCCTGGCGACGACGAATTACCTTCAGCGGTGCCTGCAGCAGGTGGTTATGGGCAAGGCAGGAGTGTGTGTCATACGTGCGACAGACAGGAATATGCCGTGCTTCGGAAAGTGCACGCAATTGCCTTCGACGCATTCCACCGCGGGGAATTCCGTCGGGTTGCCGCGAGACGGAGTACTACCGTAGTGTGCTCTTGTACGGAGAGATGAAGAGGAAGCAGGGACTGTGGAAACCGAGCAACACCCCCAAAAAGCAGCAAAAGGACTGAAGGAAAAAAAAAAAAAAAAGATGAAAAAAAAGGCGGAGAGGCTGAAATCTGTAAAGTGTCGCGTGCTATTGGATACACGTTACCCGAAGGCAAAGAATACACACTCCTCAAAGAAACAACAGTCAAAAAAAAAAAGGGCGGAAAACAACCAAAAAAAAAAAGTGAGAGAGAGAGAGAAAGAAGCATAAATGAAAAGGAGCCAAGCGATTGAAAAGGACAGATACCGCCCGTACAACAAAACACAAAAGAAAAAAAAGAAGAAAGGGGGGAAATTGAGGGTTAAGGCCGGATGGCAGCTGTAAAGCTGAGCAAAAATCTGAAGTTTGAATGATGTATGAAGGAACCTTTTTGCATAACTCAATCCCCTTTGAGTGCACACACTGCTAATAAAAAAAAATATGAAAGAAAAACACATTGAGATTCCATGACTTTACAAGTGGCAGATGAGTAACTTGTGGGTGTCATTGGAAAGGAGAGAATTGGCCTTTTCTTTGGAAACTTCGTCTCGATGTGTCTTTTTTATTATCATTATTATTCTTTTTTTTTTTTTTTCATTTTAGTGCATGGAAAAGCAGTGTATGCAATTTATGGTGTTGGGGCGGCCCAAATGAGCTTAATGCGACATTTTTAGCCGATCATCATAATATTTGCCTGCGTGTTTGTGTGTGTGTGTGTGTGCTCGCGCGTGTGTGATTGTGTTTGCTGGGTTAGTTGACAGTGCCAGCAATTTGTGTTTCATGCTAGCTGCTTTTTTTTTTTTCCTCACTACCGGTATTGTGTGTGGGGGGGGAGGGGGTTCTTTGTTTCTCCCGGGTCATGACGCGGTTGTTCCTTCTTTCCCTCGCGCACCACGCGAACACTATCGGCCCGGAGGCAATGAAACTGAGAGGGTGGTGGCGGGTTGAATTGGGAATTTGTGCTGAGAATGGGGGGAAATGGTCAAAACAGCAGAAGAAGGAAAAAAAAAAAAAAAAGAAGGCGATGTTCAGTGCCTGAGGTTTTTCTAACGGATCTTTTTTGTTGTTTTTTGTTTTTTGTTTTCTGTTTTTTTGTGTGTGTGTTGTTGTTTTTTGATTAGAAGATATTTAAAGAAAAATAAAAATAAAAAAAAGTGCGGATACATTTATTTATATTTATTTTTATCTATCTACCTGTATATATATATATATATAAGTGTATATAAATATATATGTATCTCCCTTCTTCTTGTGTGTGTGTGTGTGTGTTTTTTTTTATATTTATATATATTTATATATTTATAGTACACAAATTGGTTTATGGTTTAATTGAATGTATACGCATGGAGGGTTGGGTTTGCGTTTCCCTTTTTTTTTTTTTTCTTTTTTTTCATTTACTCTTTTTTTTTTTTGTGTGTGTGTGGGTGGGATTTTGTGTGAGTTTTGTTTTTGTTTTTTGTTTTTTTTATACTTCTTTCTTTTGTTTGGGCAGTTGTCTTGCACGTTCATGGAATGAGAGACGGCGGCAAATGCGGACCAAAACTGTTGGCTGGTGCGAGGCCGCTACCACTTTGCATCCCGCTACCTGCTGTGTCAGTGTGGAGGTCCACCGTTTTATTGTTTGCTTGACTTCATGCCCGTCTTTCTTTCTTTTTTTTTCCTCTTTTTTTTTTTTTTAAGTCGGTACTTTGGGATGCCGCCAACAGGCGCCCCTGTCCTTCCTGGCACAGCGTGCATGTTGTGCGGGACGCTGCAGACCGTCATTCTCAAGTAAACAAATGCCCTCACAGCAGCCGATTGTTTTCAGCATCCTGTGTACCGCGGTTTGCCAGCCCTAGTCGTGCCTGGGGTGATGTTGCCGGTGAAGAAACGCGTGCGCCGCCAACCAATTGCCAACGGGAGGGCATTGCATGGCGCTGTCATCCCAT